TACCAAAGTATCTACCCTGCCTTCAAACAGCTCAGGTGGGATAAAAAAAGAATGTGAAGTTTTCTCGCCCCACCCATAGGCTATTGCTTGCAGAGGCAGAGAAACCGAGCACATAACGTCATGGCAACTGTTTGCTTCTCTGTAATTACCAGGAAAGAGGAGGATGAGGAGATACAAGGCTGATGTTTTCAGCAGTGCAGACAGTGTTTGTAACCCATTATAAGCACCCCAAAAGGCCACCATTCAGTTTATTTCTGTCCACTAATCTCCCAGGACTATGCTTAGTTAAATCATGTGGGTTTTGTTGGAAATTGTCAGCAAATTAGTGTCCTATGGATAATAGTAGGGTTACCAGCCTCAGGGTGGGGCCTAGATGACAGAGATAAAATCTGTTGGAGGAAATGGCAGCTTTGGAGGGGGGAAATCTATGGCATCGGGTACCCATTGAGCTTCCTTTACTCCCTGAACCCTGTCCTCCTTAGGCACCATTCCCAAATTATTATCCCATGCCTGCCTGTGCCCCTCTGTAACATGTTGTTTGGCTCTTAGAGACCTAGCTTGCCCACATTTGCCATGAAATGTTCACTTTTGTTCAGTTTTCTCCCAGTTACTGTTCTTGATTGCAGCTTTTCATGTGCTGTCCTGTGACATTTTGTGTTAAAGAAAATAAACTCTGCAAAATATGTCTCACTTCCTGCAGAGGGACTCCTCACCTAAGCCCATATGCATCTGGGAAGTGGAACCGGTCTTCTGAGACACTTCTATAATTTATATAGGGATGAGATGGCTACGTAGCATTAGCAGCTGTAGGTTTAATATCTTGCAAATCTCCAGCTTGTTGCTTATGCAAGACAACCTTCATAAATCTAGGTCAGCTATCTCACTGACACATGATGTTTTGCAAGAAGACTCCCTCTGAATCCTGCAGAACTGTTTCCTGTTCTCTCCCCACATTTCTTTTGAGGTTAATTGGTTTATAATTGCTTTCTATGGTCTTATGCCCAGATTGTGAATCATGATGTTCCTGCGTTTAGCATCAGAAATTTAATCTACCAAGATACCTCCTTAAATTCGGAGTTGCTCTAATAATCCCTTATCCTGTGCTAATTTGCTTGAAACAACACTCACCATTTCCACAGGACATCACAATCTAATAAGTACTTGTACAGGTGGTCCTACGCATGTTTATTACTTTCAAATGAGGAATGATACCTTGTGAAAACATTTTTCCTGAATTGCCTTTACATACCCTGATGATGATGAATTAGTCATTTCTATACAGGTTATTTACCCCAAGTTCAATGCTGTTGATTTGTGTGTGGGATGGTTTCTGCTTCCCCATATCATTCTGGTGCATCTGTGCACTTCCCAGAGTTTCCCAGGATTCTTTCCAATCTTTCCCAAACCTGCTTTGCTGTGAATATTTGAAAAAAGGTTGGATTAAAACCTGGATGGCTGCCATGTCAGTAAGAAAGTTTGAATTGTTCCATTCCTACCTGCATGGCAGCCTTTTTCCCTGCCCTTGCAATGGCCATTTCCCCCTCCTTGCCACTGGAAGGTTTGTTTGTTTTTTAAAAGATCTGTAATTAAATATTATTACAATGTATAATGATCTGTGTATCAAGTTCTCTGAATTCCCAGCTTTCATTTAAAAAAAATAAGTCTCTAACCCTTTTCATTGCAGAGATATAAGTGGAAAAGTGTAACTCTTCAAGGAAAGAAGCTAGAGACATTTTTAAAATTTAAAACTGGGAATTCAAAGAGCCCGATACATATTTTGCTATATTATGATAATAATATAGCAATATTCAGTAGCTGGGTGTGTGTGTGGATAGCCAGTGCCAGGGGACTGGGGCAAAGAAACTACAGGGAATCTTGTCATGTGAAAGCCTTGTTCTGTTGCATGGCATTGGCAGCCACAGCAGCAGCTGCTGCAATAGGGAAACTACACAAGCCTCCCCCCAAGTGAAAAGACTGTAGTCTGTATCATTTAGAGGGAAGCATTCACTATAACATCAGTCACTTGAAGGCTCTGAAAAGCAGAGTTATTTGTGACACAAACTCACATGGTCACAAAGAGGGGGAGGCTCCATTTGTCATCGTCCTCACCTCCCTTCATTTCCCCACATGCATTGCCATATGGTACATCACGATCCTGAGAAAGTTTAGGTTTCACAGACAGTAAAAATCCAGTTTAGTTCATCAGAGTTCAGCATTCTGAATGCCAGTAACAGTTTTGCAACAGATTCCATTTTCCATGAAAATGTGGCCCGGTGGCATTCTAAAAGCACCCCTTTGTTTCATGTCAGCCACGGGGGTTGCAGAAAATAATGTATTAACACATTAACCAGTCCTAATCTAGGGCAGAACTTTTTCATTACATATCTGCTATTGTTGGACATATCACAGAACAAGCCTTTCTCTTTGTGTTGGAAGATATTGGCCCGTTCATAAAAACTAACTCAGTTTGTGTTATTTATTGAAATTGTGTAATGCATTTCATGTTCCTTGAATCCTGCTACATGTATTGTCAAAATTTATAAATCAAAAATATTGACCATATGGGAAGATTGGTTCTTCCTGTTTGAAGTTTGTTGGCTGAAAAGAGTTGCACACATACATTTTCATAAACTTTTCAGTACCAGTCAGAGTAAATCACTGGTACAATCAATCTGTCCTTCCAAGAAATGTTTCCCTGTGCTAGTGCTGCAAACTGGGTTGGCCCAAAGAAACCAATCAATTTTATATGCTACAATCAACCTAAAAAGAAAGATAATAGAGATAAACAGGAACCAGAGGATCAAACTAGGCAAAAAAAAGATCATGAGAGGGGTTGAGGCTCAGTAGTAGAACATCTGCTTCACATGCCGAAGATCCTAGGTGTCAGGTTCCACAGCCAGCAACGGAGTACACACTTATCAGAAAGGTTATACTTTATTGAAGAGCTATAGATGCATTAACAGAAGCACTGTTAAGAATGGCGTCACCCCTACAAGCATAATGGGATATTGGGCATTCGTATGCACACACACCCCGTCCCTAAGCCAATTAGCCGGACTCCCGCACGTGGGAGAATAGCTCCAGACCGTTAGAGCCAGAGCTGGGAACCGATAGCGCTCCCATGGTCTTCCCTGAGTTCCAGACACTACACCACCTACACATCTTACAGATAACAGTGTTACGGCAGAGAAGAAGCACAGAAGGAATGCAGCAATAATTAGTACACAGAAAAGGGAAGCCTATGGCCTCCTGAACCATCATGGCAGTATAGCTGACACTAGGTTCAATCCCCAGCATCTCCAGCTAAAAGGATCAGGTGGCAGGTGATGTGAAAGACCTCTCCTGGAGAGGCAGTGCCAGTCTGAGTAAACATGAGCCCTTGAGGGATCAAAGGTCTGATTCAGTATAAGGCAACTTCATGTGTTCATCATGGATCTCCATTTGTCTAAAAAGCTTAGCCTACAATATTTGTGTATGAATATTTGATGTTGATTAATAAATGTGCTATACAAAGACTCAGAAAAGAATGGAATAAGGAGCTAGATCATCTTATTTTTCCAAAGCAATGGAATATGGCCATAAATCTTATATTTGTTTGTTTCTATGGACCTCAATCTGCAATCTGTTCAGCAGTGTGTGTGTGTTTGTCTGTCTGTCTGTCTATCTGTGTGTTTAGGACATCACAGCACCTTTTTAGTAAAAAGACTAACTGATGGTCAGTGTAAATGGACCCTTTGTGCCCTTACTGTCACTAAAAGGCTTATTTTACATTTATAAAGATAAATGCCCACCTCCAGTAATCTGATGGAGTAAGAACCTTTCCACTTTATCAACATTTGACTGTATCACAGATGGACAATGACTGCATACGGACATATTTATTCGGAAACCTTTTATAGGCTTGCCATTATTCTTGTCAAATTATGTTTTCTTTTCCTGTTTGGGGGCTTGATTTACAATAAAAAATTAAAAATAATTGCAAGCACACAGGGCCCCCATTTGGATCACAGCCAATCAGAGAGAAAATGGTTAATCTTTCTGCCCCCTTGTGGTTTCACAAATCAAAACTGCCTCCCAGCATAGGCCTTTAAAGGAAAACACCTGGGTGCACCTGCAACTAAGGTTGCCAACTCTGGGCTGGAAAATTCCTGAAGATTTGGAGGGGGGAGCCTAGGGAGGGCAGAGTTTGGGGGGGGAGCTTAGCAGGGATGTTGATGCCATATGATCCACCCTTGGAAGCTGCCCTTTTCTCCAGTGGAACTCACTGCTGTTGTCTAGAGGTCAGTTGTCATTCCAGGACAACTGCAGGCCCCACCTGGAGGTTAGCATCCCTACCTGCAACTAAGCCTTTAAGGATGGGCAGGACCTGTAATTTCCGTCTTGTCCAGTTTGACATGGAGCATACCTTGGCATGTCTGTAGAACAGTTAAACCCTGCACTGTAGGGGTTACTGTTGACTGAACATACGTTCTAGTGGGGCTCCTTGATTGCTGCCATATCACAATAACCCATCACAATGATAAGTCTGGATGCTGTATTCCAGACAAATGTTATTTTACATTTACTGTGTTACTGCACAAAGCAGTACTGGTGCTTTCACATTTACCTTATTAAATATTGAATGGTGCTATTTTCCAAAACATTAACTTTTTCAGTGTTGTGCACATTTCTTTAAAAATTGGTTAACTGACAAACAAAGAAGATCTTTTGCAGAGATGGCTGCTATATTCATGACACATCTGCAGTGGGACAAATGAAATAGCTCCTGGTTTAGGCTGTTCAGTAAAGGCAGAGAGAAAAAGCAACACACCCTATGCAGGAAGTGTATTACAAAGACAAAACAGGAGCCAGTGCTGTCCATTTCCATTTCTTGTGTCTATAGAAAAGAGACAGCCCAGACACATTCAATTTGCTTTATTAAGTTGGAAGAAATAATGGTTCTTTTAAAACTATGTTGTGATTCATTGTCAAATATTAAGCAATTATATTCCATTTTGCAGAAGGTCATGCATACGAGGAAGAGGCACATGGAATTGTTTCAGGAATTAAATCAGAAATTTCAAACACTAGACAGATTTCGAGATGTACCCAAATCAGGCAGCATGGTAAGTACTTACTTCCTGCAGTCCTAGTGTGTACTTTAATAAATTATGCTGTGCAAATTAACAATTACACAGAGGTGTTTCTTATTTATTTACAGTCCACCTTTCTAGATGAGCCTACTTCAAAGCTCACTGAGGCACCTTGAGCCAGTCATTGCTTCACAGCTTAACCTACTTTCCAGAGGTGTTGTGTGGGTAAAATAACCATTCTGATCTCCCTGTGTGAAGCAGAGGATACACAGATACCCAGTTCTGCCATGTCCATCATGCTTTAATGTTTCTCTCTGGTTGGAGTGGGGAGGCGCAGGTCTCCTGCTATACCTCCCAGTGCGAGCCCCCTGATGCTGCTCGATAGAGCAGCAGGAGGGAAATGGGGAGTTAACAATTAAGTTTTGGATGAATCCTAGAGTGTCAGCCCAGCACAATGATGTCACCTCTGATTATATTGGCACGCCAACAAATGATTTGTCTCTGCCCCTGGTATTCTATCACCAGGCAACCCTTTGCAGGAGGGAGACAGTAAGGAAGGAAATAGTTGGCCACTCTGTGAAACCAAATGCTGGACCAGATAGACCACTGGTGTGATCCAGCGGGGCTCTTTTTTATGTTCTTAAGCAGCATGGAAAGGGGCTTTGTGGCTGTCTGCATGGTACATGAAAAACTGTGCACTCCACCTCCCCCAGGACCCCTTTCATGGCTTTTCTAGCCACTCATTCTTCCCAGAGGCACCATTGCACACACAAGACTGCAACCTCAATGTCAGCTATGAACTGCTGAAAATACTATAAAATATCAATGATGGAAGTTAAAATATGAAGTCAGATATCACTGGATATAAAACACTGACCTCTGATCTAAAGATTGTGATGATGATAATGATCTCAAAATATGAATACTCAGCATCAAATTTCACAAAGGAAAATTTTGAGGATTCATAGCAACTCTTAATATTCATAAAAATTATATAAACTTAAGTTCACACACACGTACACACCAAGCAGAACCATATCAGTACTGAAAGCTACTGCTGACTTTACATAGTCCAAATGAAGCTTTTATGTTCTTCCAAGAAAAAGAATCCTATGACGTTAGGCAAAAATAGCAACTGTATACATCCTTATGACACAGACCTAATACATGTCAGCACCCTTTAGTTAAAGGTTGTCACTGGCCATAGAAAAGAAAGTTACCTCTCAGGTACACAGGTCTTATTATAAAAGTATGAAATTACTACTTCGTTACGGTATTTAAATTCTATAAATCCAGTCATAATACTGATGATGTGAAGTCTGAAATGTAACATTTGTTATAGGAATTCTAATGGAGAAGACTGTAGTGTAAAAAATGGAAGTGACACATACGTACTTTTCCTCCCCTCTACTGAAGGACCTCTCTCTAGACCACATTGGTGGTTCTGCCCTCAGGGGCTAGGATCACCAGGCTGCTTGGTGAGCTCACTCTGGAGCAGGCCACATAGAACTGTCCATTTAAGAAGCAGTCATCTGTTAAGTCAATTCCTGCCACCTTCCATGAAAGTGATGGCCTCTCTACTTGTGTTCCTGGATTGTTTTGCTCATATGGAGACTGTGTTGTTTGGTGTGAGGGAGTGGTGATATGGTGGGCAATTCTTCAGGTTCATGAGGGAGGCATGCAGCGAAATGGCTCCTAGAAAGGTCCTTTACTATCTCCCCATAAACATTCATTAATTCGCCATGCTGGCTTTTTTGAAAAATGTCTGTTCAGGAGTCTTGAATAGCTCATTTCTGTAACTGTCCTCAACTGTCTGCAGTCTCTTCTAACTGTGTTTTTACCTCAGAACATTGAGATCCACAGCTGAGAAATCAAAGGGAGGTGGGTGCAAGTAGGCAGGTTTTACCTCAGAACTCTGAACTACACAATTGACCAATTGGGGGAGGGGGCAGGCAAGGAGGCAGCAGCCTGCCAGGCACATGGAAAATAATTGGGGGAACACATTTTGCCCTTTTTTTACCCCCTTAGGGGTCATATTTCTCAGACATCTCTTTGTGGGAGAGTTGACATCCTGGTAGGAATGCACTCCCCTTATTTTGGGATTCTTGGTGCAGGGGCATTGAATTTGGGGGGGAGGGCATACCTGCCTTTTTTTAAAAAAACAAAAGTGCTTCTCATGTTACATTTTAGAACTGGGACATAACTACATATTCAAAACACCATCCGAGCAATCAGATATCAGATAGAACCCACATTGTGTGAGGTTAAATAACCTAATAAAGGAAACCAGTTTTCTACAAATTGGGGTATATTTCCATTGTGGGTGGGAGTGTGGCTAAGCTGGGCCAGCAGCACCACTGAGGTGATCCTGCTGGGGCAGCATCCCTGATGGATTAAAGTACCCTGGTCCTGCTCCTACATCTGACAGACACCCACCTGTCTGGTGTTGGGGGGATTATGTTTAAAGGCATCAGAGAATCTGGGCCAGCAGCAGGGCTAAGGCAATCCTGCTGAGCAAACCTCACCGGTGACTGTAAGCATCCCACCTCCTCTCCTACACCTGACAGGCAGCTGCCTGTCCAGTGTAGGAGGGGGAGTGGGGAGGGGGAGGAGTGTTAGAAGCCAGTGTGGAGGCAGGGCTGGCAGGATCACTAAGGTGTTACTGCTGGGGCGAGCTCCCTCGTGGCTTTAAGCACCCTGCAACCGCTGCTGCACCTGATAGACAACCACCTGTTAGGTGTAGGAGGTGGGGGGAGTGTTTTGGAGGCTGGGCCAGCAGAGAGGCTGGGCCAGCGGCATCGCTAAGGTGATCCTGCTGGGTGGCGTCCCTGATGGATTAAAGTACCCTGGTCCTGCTCCTACACCTGACAGACACCGGCCTGTCTGGTATTGGGGGGGGATTGTATTTAAAGGCATCACAGAGGCTGGGCCAGCAGCAGGGCTAAGGCAATCCTTCTGAGCAAATCTCCCCGGTGGCTGTACGCATCCCACCTCATCCCTTCCGCTAGTATGGTGTAGTGGTTAAGTGCGCAGACTCTAATCTGGGAGAACTGGGTTTGATTCCCCACTCCTCCACTTGCACCTGCTGGATGACCTTGGACAAGCCATAGTTCTGGCACAGCTGTTCTTGAAAAAGAGTCGTTACACCTCCCACGAAAGTGATGGCCTTCTACTTGTGTTCCTGGATTGTTTTGCTCATATGGAGACCTCAGGGAGATCTTGCTGGTACTTGGCCTGTGCAGCTCAGTGCCCCACAGGAGTACTATGTGCAAATGTCTTTGCCACATTCCTAAGTTGCCCTCTCCTTGCAGCTGCCTGTCCAGTGTAGGAGGGGGAGGGGGGAGGAGTATTAGAAACCACTGTGGAGGCGGGGCTGGCAGGATCACTAAGGCATTACTGCTCGGGTGGGTTCCCTCATGGCTTTAAGCACCCTACAACTGCTGCTGACCTGACAGACAACTGCCTGTCAGGTGTAGGAGGTGGGGGGAGTGTGTTGGAAGCCATCAGAGAGGCTGGGCCATCAGCATTACTGCACCTCACAGGTGGTTGTTGGCTATTCCTGATTTCCTCAATTGTCATTAGTTCTGTGCAGTCTCCTGCAACTGTTGTTTCTATTTATTATTATTTATTTATTATTTGTATTTATAGCCCGCCCATCCCGCAAGCGGGCTCAGGGCTGGTAACTTCATAAAAACAGTAAAATAAATAAGATTAAAATTAAACAAGTTAGAAAATTTAAACAATAATAAACATTAAAAATCAATCACACTTCTGACAGTCACTGGTTGTACGGTTCTTTAACATGTTATTTGGGTTAATAAGTGGATAGGTGACAACCACCACAGGGAGGCCATATAGAGAGATCTGCTGCCTCAGCCAAAGGCCTGGCAGATCAGCTTCATCTTACAGGCCCTGCAGAACTGAAGAAGATCCCGCAGGGCCCTAATCTTAACTGGGAGCATGTTCCACCAGGCAGGGGCCAAGGCAGAAAAAGCCCTGGCCCTGGTCGAGGCAAGATGGACGTCCTTTAGGCCAGGGACAACCAGAAAATGTTTATGCATAGAGCGTAATGCTCTTTGAGACATATATGGGAAGAAACGGTCCCTCAAATATGTGGGTCCCAGGCCGTATAAGGCTTTGAAGGTAATTACCAGCACCTTGAAGTGAATCTGGAAGTCAACTGGCAGCCTCAAGCGTAAGCCTACATAGAGCGAGTTGCAGTAATCAAGGCTGGAAGTGACCATTGCATGGATCACTGTAGCTAAGTCCTGGGAGGAGAGATATGGTCTCAGCAGCCTTATCTGCCTAAGATGGAAAAATGCAGATCTGGCAAATACAGTAACCTGGGGCTCCATAGAGAAAGAGGCATCCAGTGTTATTCCCAGACTCCTCACTTTCTGGGCCAGCACCAAAGGCACCCCTTCCAGTGTGGGGAGTCTGAAACCCACATCTACACCCCCCCGACCTAGATATAGGACCTCCGTCTTCGATGGATTAAGCTTCAGCCAGCTCTGCTGCAGCCATCCAGCCACAGCCTCCAAAGCCTCAGCCAGAGTGTCAGGGACAGAAGACAGATGGCCATCCATTAACAGATAGAGCTGGGTGTCATCCACATATTGATGGCAACCCAGCCCATAACTCCTAGCTAACTGGGTGAGGGGGCTCATGTAGATGTTAAATAACATTTGGTGAGAGGATCGCCCCTTGTGGCACTTCACATTCAAGTGGGTATCGCGAGGAGACCCTCTCACCAAGTGCCATTCTCTGTCCCCGACCATGAAGAAAGGAGGAGAACCATTGTAAGGCAGTTTCCCAAACTCCTACATCGGCGAGGCGGTGGGTCAGCAGATCATAGTCGACTGTGTCAAACGCTATTGTTAGATCTAAAAACAACAGCAGCGCCAACCCGTTACGATCCAGCTGCCTACAGAGATCACCTGTAAGGGTGACCAGAGCCGTCTCTGTCCCATGGCCAGGGCGGAAGCCGGACTGGAACGGATCAAGGATGGAAGCATCCTCCAAGAAAACTTGGAGTTGTTCAGCCACCGCTCTCTCAACTACCTTACCCAAAAACGCCAAATTTGATACTGGGTGGTAGTTGGCCAGGACCGCAGGGTCTAATGATGGATTTTACCTCAGAAAACAGAGCTCTGCAGCTGACCAATCAGAGAGTGGGGGATGCAAGGAGGCAGCAGCCTGGCAGCCACGTAGGAATCAATGGGGGAGCACATTTTACCCCTTTTGACCCACTTAGGGGTCGACTTTCTAAAAATCCCTTCTTAGTGAGCACCTACGCCACAATAGGAGCGCTCTCCTCGAATTTGGTGTCTCTAGGTCCAGCGGTTTGGCCTGGGCATTGATTTTACGGTGAGGGGACTTTCTTTTTTATATATATAGATGAAATTATGAGTTTTTCTGGGGTTTGAGGGAAAATGAAAAAAATATGCAATACTTTGATTAAAAAACTCCTCAACATATTTACTGCTCTAACATAAAATGCATCTTTTATAAAATGGTATTGTTTGGTTTATTTATTAAATTAACAGTGCAATGGATTTTGAAGGGTGTAACTGTTTAGGACTGCACTGTTAAAAGTACAAGTTTTCTACATGCAAAATGGCAAATACGCCTTGTATATGAGAGAGAGAGAGAGAGAGAGAGAGCGCACTACAAACTACTGGTTTCCTGTGCTGGGGCCTATTCTTCAACTGCTGCTTTGCTGTTGTTCAGTTGCACAGTTGCGTCTGACTCTATGTGACCGCATAGACCACATCACGCCAGGCCCTCCCGTCTTCCACCACCCTCTGGAGTTTGCCCAATTTCATGTTGCCCAATTTCATGTTCTCTGAAGTTTGCCCAATTTCATGTTGCCCAATTTCATCAGTAACACTGTCTAACCATCTCATCCTTTGCCATCCCCTTCTTCTGTCTCCAGTGAGTGCTCCTTTTCATTTGGTGGCCAAAGTATTTGAGCTTCAGCTTCAGTATCTGGCCTGCCTGGGAACAGTCAGGTTTGATTTGCTTTAGGATTGACTGATTTGATCTCCTTGCAGTCCAAGGGTCCTCTCCAGCACTATAATTTAAAAGCATCTATTCTTCAGCGCTCAGCCTTCCTTATGGTCCAACTCTCACAGCCATACATTACTACTGGGAATACCATTGCTTTGACTATGCTGACTTTTGTTGCCAGGGTGATGTCTCTACTTTTTATTATGCTTTCTAGGTTTGCCATAGTTTTCCTCCCAAGGAGCAGGCGTCTTTTAATTTTATGGCTACAGTCACCATCTGTAGTGATCTTGGATCCCAGGAACGTGAAGTCTGCCACTGCTTCCATGACTTTCCCTTCTATTTGCTAAGGAGTGATGGGGCCAGATGCCGTGATCTCAGTTTTTTTGATGTTGAGTTTCAAGCCAACTTTTGCACTCACAGCAAAAGGCTCTTGCGGTATCTGTATTCATTTATAGTGTGCTCACAGTTGGTGTCTGAGGTGTGTCACATCCCATTATAGCATATGAAAGATATTAAGGTTTCAGCACGCTTTCTTGCAGGGTCACCATCTACCCAAATAGACTCACAGTCTCAGTTAGGAAATGGCAACTAAATATGCAGCTGCCATTGATGGTCAGTGAGCCCTCGCTGTGTTCTGTTTCGAGCCAGCCACTGGGAATTGTGTTGGCAGTTCTGTTGGCAAGACTTCCGATGTACTGATTGCTCATAGAAAGGAATGAGATGACTAACTCTAAATATCAGCCAATTTGGCTCTTTTCAAAGCCATCTTATCTCTTTGACATCTGTTTTTCATGTGGCTTTTTTTTTAAAATAAACGGAACTGAAAAAAAGAAGCTTAATTTTATTTTATTTTCCTCTTCTCACTTTCACAGGAAAATCCAACAGCAGCGAACAAGGCTCCCTGGGACAGTTTCAAAAACACAAGTGATTACCAACATTATACCACAATAAACGTATTAGATACAGAGGCAAAAGATGCTTTAGAACTAAGACCAGCAGAATGGGAGAAGTGTCTGAATTTGCCTCTAGATGTACAAGAAGGTGATTTCCAAACGGAGGTTTAACGAAGATGCAAACAAACTGAAGCGAAAGGAAACTCATAGAACAATTTTATTTGCACTGACCCTACAGAGACTTGGGAAGCCTGACACGCCCATCTGAACATTGCGGCAAATGTGTATCAGGACCTTCATGTGCCAAATGTCAGTGAATTCTTTTCATATGATATAGTCCCACTGGCCAAAACTAGTGGGGAGCCAGGTGTACAATTCTTACCATCGTGTCTTGTAAGTACCCGTGGAATGGATTTGTAAGGTAAATCTTTATAGATAAACCTCAAGCAACGGTTCATGTTGTAACAGCTTCATTTGGTTTAGTTTTCAGAAAACTTCACCATGAAGCACAATGTATATATTTATGCAGTTTTTAAAGTTTATAACAGTCTGTTTGGCCATTACTACACTTTTTACTTTATAATATAAAAAAGCAAAGTTTTGTCGTCATTAAATGAATGTCTGTTGAGCTACATTCTTCATTGCTTTAAATGCAATAAAGTAATAATCTCACTTTTATACGAATAATATATTTCACATCTTTATTATTGCAGTTTTCTCTGGGAAGCTCAAGGGTAGCTTTTCCTGCTGCAGCTGTGCATAAAATATTTAAAATGTTGTATGGTGTAAATAAACTTTTGTCTACATATCAGTATTTTCAGTGCATTTTATTTTGGATTTGTTGATCTGAAATTTGCATATTTATAATGTTTTCTTTAAAACACAGAAGCTGAAAATGCATTCAGAATTTTAATAGCACACTTATTACTCCTGTGAGACTAATGATTTCTGAAATGTAATAATACGTTTGAATAGCTGTTCTATTTTTTCCCTCTTCTATGAAGGCAACAGACAATGTACATTGGACTTGTCAAAGTACCGCTAGATTCGTTCTGTTATATGTAACTGTTGTTTTTTCTTCTTGCAGCAGAAACACAACTTCTAGACAAACAAGTTTTTCTTTTACTGCCACCCTAGCATGGCACTTTTGGGGATAAAAGGAAATATTTATTCCTGCGCTTTCTGAACAGAAATTGACAACAAACTAATATAGTTCATAAAGTAAACCAACAACAAATCTTCTCATGACTAGATACAGAATTTGGATTTTGTTCTAGGATTTTGTATTATTGGACTAGATTGTCCAGTCTACCTGCATGTGATATAAAGGAAATGGGCTGATAAGAAGAAAAGCTGACTCAAATGTAGAACCCTCTGACCTACAACTATACCTTCAATGCTTAATATTCTGAAATACATCAGTTTTAAATCTGGCCGGCCTTATTTCTTAAATTAGAATGGATCTACCTGTTGTATTTTCAGAATCATGTTTTCACATGTTCTGTTTGAGGGGCTGACTCCTGAACTTTTCTGTTTGAACAGTACTGTATTTTGAAACTTCTATACCAGGGCATTACAATCATTTTAGCCTGTGGCAGGTTCTACTATACATTTCAGCTGTTATGAACATTGAAAATCTTCCTTGATAATTGTGAGACGTCACCAGAGGATATGAATTAATGAGAGACAGTTTTTTGTCCTACATCTTTGTTCAGAAGATCTTCCTGCGAAACGGCAAGACATTCCGGAGATCACCGTCAATATATTTTTCTATGATTATGTATACTATTTTCGTTCATTTTTCTATGATTCTTTAAAGATATATATTAAGCGTCACTTTTTCACAGTTTTTCTTGTTCTCCGTATTATCTATGTCAGTGCCATGGAATAGTTCATGCTACTCTACATCTGGCAGTTTCCACCCTAGCAGCAAATATTCACCCACTGTGTTGTAATCACATGATATTAACAGGTCAGCTCACACAACCATAGTTTGCAATACTGTGTGGGGAGCTACCTCTAGCTGAACAGTAGCTCGCAGGATTAGGCCTCCACAAACTTCTATTCAGTCTAGAAAATAATCATTGGCTGTGCAGGCTTTCCTTTTAATAGAGATTTATAATATATTAATATCATTATAGTCAATAATTTTAGGCCGGTCTGAAAAACATGTCAGGTTACAAAGCTCTCAATTATTTATTTTGCTGGATTAATTTTAAAACTAGAAAATATACTATCTGCAAGAAATAAACCATGTTTTACTGAACTGGTTTTGTTCATATAGTGCAGTGTAAGGTGTCAGAGTCTGAGACGGAAAAAGTTAACTGTAATGAAGTTTTGTGTGATATACAAAATTCAGCTTATAAAAGAGGCTTGACAGGAGTGTGCAAACCAATCCAACTAGGCTACAAACATCTGTGGAAGCATGCACTGTGGAAACATACACTGTGGCACAGTTGCCTAGCTGAATGTGCTGTAGGTAGGATTGAATGCAAATAGTCAGAATGGAATCCAATCGTTTGAAAGGGAGAGCAGGAGCCAGGTTTGTTCACATCCATTCATTATTTCACTCTCTGACATACACAGATCTCTTCCCTTAAACAGCTGATAGGTATAAATGCATTGAGGATTAAAAATTGTAGAAACAAGGCCTGCTTGTTTAAGAAGAGAATGCCTTCAACATCTCACGAGACTGTGGGCCAAAGTAGATGACACTGGTGTCCCTGGGGATGCCCCAGGGATTCCACCATTTTGAGGCAGTGAGTTCCCAGCCAAAAACGCCTTTAAACTGCACAGTGGGAACTGATTCTGGTGGAGGGATCTGCAGCATGAGGGAAGGAGGGGCTCCTGCCTACCTCATAGGCCATCTTCCAAGTGCCATTTCAAGCTGGAGAAAATGGCAGAGGGAGGAGGCAGATGGTGTATTGTCTAGTTCAGCCGTATGGTGTGAGATCTTGGTAACCATTGCTGAGGCTTCAAAGCCCCAGTTAGCCAGCTTGAAGATGAAAAAAGTGAGAGAGGACTCAGGGCCAGCCCCAGCTGACTTTGCACAGTAGGTGAGGCTACCTTCTGATAGCTGCCTGTCAGGTGTAGGAGAGGAGGTGAAATGGCTTCCAACATACTCCCCCCACCTCCTACACCTAACAGGCGGATGTCTGTCAGGTGCAGCCCCACCTCCACAGTGGCTTCTAATACTCCTCCCCCTCCCACACTGGACAGGCACCTGCCTGCCAGGTGGAGGAATGGAGGTGGGATGGCTGCCAACATACTCCCCCCACCCCCTACACCTAACATGCGGTTGTCTGTCAGGTGCAGCAGTGGTTTCAGGGTGCTTAAAGCTACAAGGGAGCCTGCCCCAGCAGTAACAGTTTAGTGATCCTGCCGGCCCTGCCTCCGCAGTGGCTTATAATACTCCTCCCCCCTCCCTGTCCTACACTGGACAGGCAGCTGCCTGTCAGGTGTAGGAGAGGAGGTGGGATGCTTACAGCCACCGGGGAGGTTTGCTCAGCTGGATTACCTTAGCACTGCTGCTGGCCCAGCCTCCCCGATGCCTTTAAATATAATCCCCCCACACACACCAAATATAATCCCACACACACACACACACTCACACCTCTCACCTCTTACTGCCCCCAAGAACGCTCCTGGCAAACGTCAAGCCAGATATACCAACACTACAAGGAGGAGGCAATTTAGGAATGCGGCAAAGACATTTGCACATAGTACTCTTGCAGTGCACTGAGCCGCACAGGCAAGATCACCCTGAGGTGCTCAGAACAACAAAGTCTCCATATGAGTAAAACAATCCAGGAACACAAGTAGAGAGGCCATCACTTTCATGGAAGGTGGCAGGAGTGGACTTAACAGACGACTGCTTCTTAAATGGACAGTTCTATGTGGCCTGCTCCAGAGTGAGCTCATCAAGCAGCCTGGTGATCCTAGCACCTGAGGGCAGAACCACCAGTGTGGTCTAGAGAGAGGTCCTTCAGTAGAGAGAGAAAAAAGTACGTTATGTCTCACTTCATTTCTTACACTACAGAATTCCTACAACAAATGCCACATTTCAAATTTTACCTCACCAGTATTATAACCAGATTTACGAAACTTAAATACCATAGCGAAGCACGGGTATCAGGCTAGTGTTTTAATATTTTACTTAAACATTTCTATTATAATGAAATGTGTTTTAAACTATACCCCTCCCCCCCTATTTTCAAAGCTGGACTTATTTTGTTATATCTCATCACAAGGGATAAAACCACCTGCTTTGTCTTATTCTGTAGTCCAAAACTGGAAATCATTTTGTGAAACATATACTAGAATTGATGTGCATGCAAAAAAATCAATGGATTTTTTAAAAAATGCTTGTGCTATATATTAAACCTCTGCTGACGTTTTTATAGTAGCAACCACTACAAGAAGGTGAACTGTTGGTGAGTCATTGAATCACTGATATTTTACAAGCGTCCTAGGTATGAAGTCAGGAACTTCTGTCTTCAGTGGAGTTTTCTGGTAGAACACCTGTTTCTTCATCAGATATTTTCCTCTGTTGCAAAGAAGACAGGTGTTTGTTTGTTTTTGAATCACCCAAGTGATACTAGAACAAGAAGTCAATTTTTGAGGCACTCTCCCTCTCACTGTACACTGACTATTTTATACAGCACGTTATATAGAATTATTTTGTTGAAGTTGTTCCAGTCGGCTTAAGAGGCATGCACTCATGGGAAGCAAAGACTACAAGAGAAGGAAGATGAACTTGCAGTAAAGTAAACTTATGGAATAGTGGTGGCTGGACCTGTAATTATATCCACTCTCAGATTCTTCCCAGTTTAGGCCCTCCCACCAGCCTTCAGAAGCCACACCCCGGCTCTGTTCCTACAAGGACATTTACATAATCCTTGGATCATTATGAGCCAGCATTACCCAGGCAAATGCACGACATTCAGGAAAGTGCTTGGGAATATCACACTTTCAGTTCAGATCACAAATTGTACTGAGACCTATAAGATCCTATTCCCACTTAACTTAGGTAACTAAATCAACATTCTCATGCATATTGTTTCTGGGTTCTGACATCAAAACAAAATGTAAAAACTCTAAACTAAATACAAGCTGGATGGTTTAATGTCTAACTGTGGAGACAAACGCTCTTTACTGGAATATGCTAGACTGTCTCCTCAGATACCATTCGTTGTTCTGTAAATAATTTGTGTTCACTGGGAAGAACTCTTCCTAATTTTTCATAGAATTCCTTTCCTTTGTTCAATACAATAAATTGATCTTGAGCAGTTAATAGCTGTTGTTAATCTCTTATCACCCAACAGAAAAAAGAACTAAAAAAAATGCAAGTGCTAAAGTTCTTTTTGGATCCCTGTCAGCAAGTAGATATGTAACTAGATCAAAAGACTATGTATCAGAGTGAACTGGCAAAAATATAACACCTCCGAAGATTAGCATATATAAAGGACACTCCAAAAGAATATGTGCAAATGTGTTGATAAGAGCCCTGCTGGATCGGACCAATTGTTCATCTAGTCCACCATCCTGTCTCATACAGGCTGGCCAACCAGATACACGGCCGAGACTTACCTAAAAGGCCAGATTGCTGCATGGGCAAAGGAGGGCTGGAGGAGGTCTTCTCCCCCCCCCCTTTTTTTGGTCTAACGGCCAGCAGAGGCGGGAAACTGGGACAACCGCATTGGCTGGCTCCACGCCAGCTGGGGGGGAAGCTGATTGGTCTTGAATTTGGCGGGCTCTATGCAGTGATGACATAGAGCCTGCCCGGGAGATTTAAGCAGCGCTGCCAGTGAAGCGTGGCAGTGCAGTTTTCGTCGGATCCCCACCCACCCTCCCTGGGTTTAAAAGTTTCTCTAAGTTTGTTATTGTCACAGTTGGCGGTTTTGGCGCATCTGGGGTGGATCCTTTTTGGGGAGACGGGCCTGCGTGTCCACCTCCCCCTTTTTGGGGACCCCCTTAAGGTGTCTGGGGGATTGAGCCAAGCAGTAGGCCCATCTCGGGGGCTGTGCCAGGCTCACCCCAGGTGTCAAATTCATACCATGCAGAGGCAGCCGCCCTTGTGATACCAGTAGTATTTGTCACTCCTGGGTTTTCCCTCAGCAGGCGGGCTGAGGGACGTGGTATTTGGGCAGCAGGTGGGTCACTCGATTTTCCAGGATCCACCCCCATGCTTCGCCAATGCTCCTTGATCTGTAATCAATAAAAGTGGTGGCCTGTTCTTTATTCCAAAATTGTTGTGTGGTGTGTTTATTGTGGACCTCAGCAGGACCTCTCCTTACTAAGCCCTGCGCCAGCAACCTTTCGACAGCCAACAACAGGGCATAGAAGCCAAGGCCTTCCCCTAATGTTGCTTCCTGGCTCTGGGATTCAGAGGATTAGTGCCTCTGAGTGTGGAGATCCCCCTCAGTCACCATGAC